CACAAGGCATTGGTTACACCCCTCCCCAGAGAGCCATGACCCTGGTTCTCCATGAAATCTTAATTCCCTTGAAGTAGAAAAGCACTGAGGGCAAGGTTAGACCCCGGATCTGAAGCACATGTTGTGTGTGATGTTTAAAGGCACAACTCTGAGCTCCTGCCAGTGCCAATGAGCTGATTCCTTTGCTTTTTGTGACCCTCCTGGAAGGACAGGAAAGACAAGGTTCTGCTTCATCATCAGTTCCTGCAGTGCCACAACATCTATTAACCTCAAGGGCTCATTCCCTGCTTGCTCCGTGTGTGGCTCCAATCTGTTTAAGGAACATTGGCACCTGTCCCCTGAAAGTTAGAGCAGCTCAGCAATGCCCACTTGGTGTCTGGCAGCACAGCAAGTACTGCAGGGCACAGGCTATGGAGTGGATTGGACAGGATTTATCATGGTTATGTCAAGAAAACACAGACAGAAGAGGTGACACCACGGCAAGGTTGGGAGAATGTTCCTCAGAGCACGAGTGACACCAGGGACCTTCTTCCCAGAGATCATCGAGCCCATGGACCGGCAGCCACTTGCTTCAGGAGCTGCTTTAGTCTCTCAACAGCTTAGGAAGAGCATTTCCAGCAGGGCAGGGAGGGATCCTGCCCCTCTGCCCAGCCCTGGGCAGGCACATCTGCAGGGCTGGGCCCAGCTCTGGCTCCTCAGCACAGCAGGCACAGGGAGCTCCTGCAGCGGCTCCAGCGCAGGCTGGGAGGATGAGGAGGGCACTGGAGCATCTCCCTGCCCAGCAAAGGCTGAGGGAGCTGGGGCTGTTCAGCCTCCAGAGCACACACTGAGAGGGGCCCTCCCCAGGGTGTGTCAGGGGCTGCAGGGAGGGGGCAGAGGATGGCCCAGGCTCTGCTGGGGGGGCCCAGCAATGGCACAAGAGGAACGGGCAGGAACCGATGCCCAGGAAGCTCCAGCTGGACAGGAGGAAGAACTTCTTCCGTGGGCAGTGACCCAGCTCTGAACAGGCTGCCCAGGGAGGGGCTGGAGTCTCCTCCCTGGGGATATTCCAGAGCCCTCTGGACACAGTCCTGGGCCATGTGCTCTGGGCTGGCCCTGCTGGACCAGTGACCCACTGGGGTGCCTTCCAGCCTGACCCATCCTGGGATTCTGTGGAAAAAACCATATCCAGAATGGGACATGTGCTGGTCCATCTCCACCTTCTCTCCAGCTGTTCCCCAGTGCCTGGGTAGAAATCCATACACACTTTGCCACCCTGGGTCTCTGCATCCCCACTTCACTGATCAGCAACTCAGAGGGGTATTCCCAGTTGTCTCAGTCACATCCCTATCCTTGGGAAAACACTCAGGGATTTTTGGACAACAACAAGCACAACAACAGTGTCCAAAGCTTCTCAACCTGCAGAACGTGGTCCAGTAACAGTGAGGGAAACAGATCCCAAATCCAACACCAAAGGATCCCAAATTTGACTGTAGGGGTGAGAGTTCACAGATCATTGGTTGTTTTCTTGCTCAGTACATGCCTGGTTAATGCTATTTTGGGGGGAAAAAAGCATCAACTTGATCATAAAATCCTAAGGGATGGAAAATCCATCCCTTCCCTCCTGAGCCACCAGACCCTCATTAATTAATTTGCACCTCATTCCTCATCTGGATTTTAGCATTAGGAAGCAGCAATGGCTGGAAGAAACATCTTTCAGCAGAGATTTCTCACCCTGGCACAGAGATAAGGAGTCACATCCTTAGTGCTTCCTCCAAGCACTTGTACCTCAAGTCAAGTCACCTCTCAATCATCTTCACAAACTCAAGGCTGTCAGAGGACCAGGCTACAGAACTTCAGCTGTGATGTCTGGCAAGGGCACAGTCCCAACTGCACATGTTGATGTCTTTCCTTTTCCTCTCAGTTTAATTTGTGGGGGGAGAGGACACAGGACAAGAAACAAATGGAGCCTTCTGGGAGTGCACCTGCTGTTTAACACAAATTCCTCTCAGAAAATGGTTCTCAGCGTAGGAAGTTTAACACAAAGATCAGCTCAGTGAGAACAGCTCTAGAAAGGATAAAACTGGCTCCAAGCAGCGGTGGACAAAGTGTGTGTGGGGTTCACCTTGTTTGCTGCAGTGAGAAATGGCACAGATTATTATCTTTTATTCCCAAGCTTCCTTTGAAAATGGATGTAGTAGCTAATCCCCAACACGCTGGATGAGGCAGGCAAATCCTCCTGGGAATGATCCCTTATCAAACTCACTCCTTTCCTGAGGCTCAAGAAATTTTGTGCAGAACTTCAGTTCAAAGGATGAAATCCATTCTCAGGGTGACTGGGCCAAGGTTGGACAGGGTTTGGAGCAACCTGTGCTAGTGGAAGGTGTCCCTGTCCGTGGCAGGGGGTGGGAAGAGCTTCAAGGTCCCTTCCAACCCAAACCATTCTGTGGTTCTTTAACCACCTCACTGAAGGGACAGGTTCAAAACCCACCTCTTTGCCCTTCCATCCCTGTGTTTCAGAAGAATCAGCCTGGTTTTGGTTACAGGAAACAAAACAGCCAAGAACAGCCTTTCTCAGCCAGGATTGTGTCCCTTCCTCTTCCCTTCTCCCACTCCTCTGTCTGGATTATCCAAGCAGAGGATTATTTTGCAGGGAACTGCAGGATCAGCACTGGCCAAACCCCACAGGGCGAGCCCAGCACGGTACAACTTGTGTTTCCAGCAACTCCCTTTGCCCACTTTGATTTTTGAAATGTGCACAGACCAATCCTCCCCACAATTCCCACTAGCAGTGACTCACAGGAGCTGCAGTGCCAGCTCGTCTCGGGCTCAGGAGGATTGACTCAGTCGGGATGGGCTGATTCACTGGGAAAACATGGGCCTTGGATTGTGGTTCCAGAGAAATCAGCAGCACCTTCCCAACACAATGCATCAGCACTTCCACACCCCAGGAGCACTTTAAGGCAGTTTTTTGGGTGCCAGAATCATATATAACGTGGTTTGAGTAGGGCAAGGATTGTCCCCTGTGCTGGCACTGCTGGGACACCTCCAGCCCTGGGGGCAGATTTGGGCTCCTCAGGACGAGAGAAACACTGAGGGGCTGGAGCGTATGCAGGGAAGGGAATGGAGCTGGGAAGGGGCTGGAGCAGCAGGAGCAGCTGAGGGAGCTGGGGGGGCTCAGCCTGGAGAAAAGGAGGCTCAGGGGGACCTTCTGGCTCTGCAATCCCTGACAGGAGGGGGGAGCCAGGGGGGGTCAGGCTCTGCTCCCAGGGAACAGGGACAGGAGGAGAGGGAACGGCCTCAGCTGTGCCAGGGGAGGGGCAGGTTGGACATCAGGAGGAATTTCTCCACTGAAAGGGTGGTCAGGCACTGGCAGGGGCTGCCCAGGGAGGTTTGGAGTCCCCACCCCTGGAGGTGTCCAAGGAAGGACTGGAGGTGGCTCTCAGTGCTCTGGGCTGGGGGACAGGGTGGGGATGGGGCACAGGGTGGACTCCATGGGCTTGGGGGCCTTTTCCAGCCAAAAGGATTCTGTGATTAAGAGGAAAAACCCAACAAACAGCAGCTTCCCCAGGAGCTCTTGCTGTCCCCACGTGCAGCTGAGCAGGGCTGGCAGAGCAGTTTCACCAACTGGAGCAAATATTAATTGGCTCTTGTTTCCTCAGTGTTTCAAGGACCCTTCAAAGTGCAGTTGCTGTGAGGAGAAAATGCACCTGCTAGTTGAGCTCCTTTTTCCTCTCCTCTTCACCTTGGCCAGAGTATTTTTAGCTGTATGGACAGACTTGCCAATATTTTCACCTTCAATCCTTTGCAAGGAACTTTCTGACAACGCCCAGTAAGGAATGAACCAAATCTATCCAGGGTCAAGAGAGGCAGCAGGAAAGAAATGATGAGCAAAAGCAAGTTCCCAAAGGGCTTCTTCTTCAATATTTTTTTTGGCCTTCAATATTTTAGCTCCTGTTGTTCCCAGAGAACTCTGTACCTCATTTCAGCACACTCAAGAGCTTGGTCAGACATTCACACACAATCCACCTGATCACACTCTGCAGAACAAATTGCCTCCCAACCCCACTGAGTCCCCCCAGATCTACTAATCTAAGTAGATCTGGCAGAAAATAACCCAACATTGTCATCTCAGAAGGCAGAAAAACTCACTGTTTAAAGCAAAGCCTCTCTCCTGGCTGTTCATCTCAGCAGGGAACGTGTCAACAGCTGCCAAATTGGTAAATACAAGGATTTGCTTCCATCAGAGCACAGGATCAGGAACAAGAGGAGGAGGTTTGCTCCTGAAGCACTGTTGTTATTAATTCATGTGATGCTGGGCCCAGGATGGGTCATTAATTGCTACAAAACATGTCACACTAAGCTCTGAGCTGACACAGTCCCATGGGCTTTCAGGTCACTGCTCAGCTGCCTCAGGTGGACACAAATCACCACTGCTTTGGGTCAATCTTCCAGAAATAGGCAGATTTCCATGGAGGAAGAGGGTGGGCAGAGCTGGCAAACCCCAGCACACACAATTTAATGTCCCTCCTGTGCTGCAGGGGCAAGGGAACCTCTGAGAACCAGAGCAAGGTGACCCACGGGGGTTTGTGACTCTTCCCAGGCTCCCCTGAATTTCCAGCTTTCCAGCTTTCCTTCAGCAGCCTGTTTTCAGTGAAACCCCTTCATTAGGAAATCTGTTATTTGACAATCTCTCCACCTCTCACAGCAGTTTACTGTCCCACCTGAGGCACGTTCTTTTGTCAATGAGTTTTCTCCCCATGACAAAAACTGATCAACCCTGCTGAAATTTAAACACCTGAATGTACAAACCACACAAATATGCTCCCAACACACCCAGAACCCACTCCATGGCCCATCTTGAGAGCCTCTGAAGCCTCTCAAGTCGTTTGTAGAGAACCTCTACTTTTGTAGAAAGTAGAAAAAGTAAGGTGAGAAGGAATTAAAAAAGGTGTCCTGAGCAGGCAAAGTACAGGAGGAATTAAAAAAACCTATTTAAAAGCACATTCTTAACTGGGTACCTTTTCAGCCAAGGCCTTTAAACTGTCCAGAAACCTCTGCCAGAAGTCCTTGAAGAGGGGTCTGTCGATTCTCCTCAGGCTCTCCCTGGTGCTGGCATCCACGCTGACATACAGCTGGGTCACTGGCTCCAGGCTCCTGTGGAAAGAAAAAGCAGGGAATTGCTGTTTTCAGACATTGCTGCTGCTCCAGTTTGTGTTTTTGTGCTGCAGGAGCTCCCACCAAGCTGCTCTGCAGGTCCAGCAGCAACAGGAACTTGGCCAACCATCCAAGTCCTGGGGTTCATCTCTGCCAAGTGACCATGGTCCATGGCAAGATGCTCGAACCTTTCAACAAACAACACCCCCCAAAGCTGGGAACTCACAAACAGGCCTTGGCTGACAATTTAATTATCTTTTCCTCACTCAACTGGAACATATTCCACTCCAGAGTAGCTGTAACACACTGGGAAAGGCTTCCCAAAGGAGGCTGCCAGGGAAGCATGGAGAAGCTCTGCTGCTCCCCACAGCCCCCATGGATAAAAATCCACCCAGCTCAGCCCCTTCCCCAAGTTCTCTTTGCTCTGGCCTATGGAAAACCAATCCCATTCAATAGGAATGGACCTCAGGAGGAATTTCTGCCTGGAAAGGCTGGTCAGGCATTGGAAGGGGCTGCCAAGGGAGGAGCTGGAGTCCCCACCCCTGGAGGTGTCCAAGGATGTGGCACTCAGTGCTCTGGGCTGGGGGACAAGGTGGGGATGGAGCACAGGGTGGACTTGATGGTCCTGGAAGGCTTTTCCAGCCTCAGGGATTCTGGGATTCTAAACAGAGCCATAACTCAGCCACTTCCTACTGCTGGATTCACTGAACTTACCTCACCTGCAGGTGGATCCTCAGGCAGTTTTCTGAAGGGATATCAAAACTGTTTGGAAAATAAACCCCCACACAAACCACCACTGTGTTCTCCTTCCACTAACAAGGCCTTACTCCATAAATAATATTCCTTTCTGGTCACACAATGCCAGTGAGCCCAACACTGGTAATTCCTAAAGAGTTTAAACCTCCTGTGCTGGGTGGAGAGCCTGGGTTGAGTCTCAACCCTTCCAGAAATCAAGGGAATAAAGGAGAAGCAGCAACGGGTCCATCAGCAAAGGGATCATTGAGGGCACTAAGAACAACCTGGGAGGAGCTCCCTCAGAATTCCAGGTTGGAAACTTCCCCAGGGCTCGGGTGGGGACAGTGCAGTGAGCAGGGAGCAGTCCCAGCTTCCTGGGGTTCTTTATAGAGGAGGAGCAGCCATCAGAAACCACTGATCAGCTGCCAAACAGGGCCACCTAAAAACACACCCACCCCCTGCCCACCCTGAGGGTGACAAAGGGACAAGGAGTGGCCAGAATGAGACTGGGCAGAGCTCTCTGTGCCCAGAAAAATCCACTTAATATATGGACACTCAACCAGCCATCTGAACACATCCCCTCTGCATGAAAAACCCAGAACAAACTGAACATTTCAGGTTAAAATATCAGTTTGGTAAACAAGCCTGTGTGGACTGGCAGCCCAAAGCCACAGACTCCAAAATGACCAAATGTTCTAGGCCTAAGTGGATTGGAGTGTTCAGTTTCAGAGAATACTGAGCCAAAATACTCTTTTTTTTTTCACTCAGTGCTGTGTTTGCTTAATTAAAAGGGGCCCCAGTGAAGATGGAGGGGGTGTTTTTCAAACTGCAGGCTGAGAAAATTCATCTCTTCTCTGAGGAACTCAAAGCTAAGGACAGGCAAGAGCCAGACTCACAGTTAGATGGAGAAAATTAGGGAATTAGGAGAGATCCCAAGGAGGGATTTCTGCACCACATTGCTCCAAGCAGGAGCAGTCCACAGGGCCCTGCAATGGCTGGGAATTGAGCCAGGATGAGCTTGGACATGCTCAGGGAACAAGGAGGAAGGGTAACCACGGGTGCCATGAGAACTAGAACCCACCTGATGTTCCTGGAACTCAGCTACACTTGGTAATTAACAGGAGATTTAGTTGGATGGTACCAGGATGGAGTTTTGGTTGTCTGAGGTGACACCCAGGACACCAAATCCATGGCATTTACACAGGAACTTGGGGCAGAAATCATCAACCAAAGGACATCAGGCCACCAGCCATGAGGTGGCTCCAGCAGCCCACAAGGACCAGGCACAGCAATAGTGAGAATCTGCTCATTATTATTCCTGAGGATCAAACATTCAAACACAAACAGGAGGGTCCCTGTTCAGAGCCAGGAAAGCTCCCTCACTTTGTGGATGTGTGTGGGGGGCAGGTGGAGCTGCAGTCCAGAGAGAAGAGGAGGAGGAGGAGAAGGAGAGGAAGGCCCAGGAGGCACCACCCTGGAGCCCCAGTGGGCTCCTGTCCCAAACCCAGCAACAGCCCAGCCCACACTCCCCTCCCATGGAATGGTTTGGGTGGGAAGGGACATTCCAGTTCATCCAGTTCCACCTCCTGCCACGGGCAAGGACACCTTCCACCAGCCCAGGCTGCTCCACCCTGGCCTTGGACACTCCCAGGGCTGGGGCAGCCACAGCTTCTCTGGGCAACCTGTGCCAGGGCCTGCCCACCCTCATAGGGAGGAATTTATTCCTAATATCCCATCTATCCCTGCCCTCTGGCACTTTGAAGCCATTCTCTGTGTCCTGTCCCTCCATCCCTTGTCTCCAGTCCCTCTCCAGCTCTCCTGGAGCCCCTTTAGGCCCTGCAAGGGGCTCTCAGGTCTCCCTGGAGCCTTCTCTTCTCCAGGAGAACCCTCCCAGCTCTCCCAGCCTGGCTCCAGAGCAGGGGAGCTCCAGCCCTGGGAGGCCTTTGCAGGCCCTTGTCCAAAGTCCCTTCCTGCACCAGAGGTCACTCTGCCTATTTAAGAGTAACTTTTCCACCCCAGCCCCCTCTGCTGACAGCTCAGAACTGAGCCTGGTGCCTACTTCAGTTCCCATATTAAGCAAATCATTTGCTTTGATGAGCCAAAGATCAGTTGCAATTTTTAAGACAGCAAGACCAGCATTTTATCACTTTCTTTTTTGTTTCTTTTCAAACAGATTCAGCAGATCCGAAGAAGTGCAGCTTCAAAATAGAGTGTGTGCTCTCTTTTTAAACTGCTATATTTAGGAAAGAGCAATTTCTATCTATCAGGCACATAATACATGACTTAAAGTAACTTGATTACACAATTATTCAATCATTTGGAATGCCTTTGTGGTGTATAATTACTCCCTCCAAAATTGCCTGCCCTGCCCCCCCCTCACTGCCATGTTGAGACCACGAGGAGTGGAAAGGAAGCTCTACCAGAGGTACTGACCCAGAGGGGACTGAGCTGAAATGAGGGGCTGAGTGACACCCCAAAGCACTCAGCTCACCCAGCTCCAGGCTTGGACTTTGCCACAGGGATCAGCTGATGGAATTCTGAGCTCCCACCAGGTGCTGTGTTTCCTTGCTGCTCTGTTCAAAGCAGCCTGGATGCTCCAAAGCAGCAGAAACAGGGAATCTTTGCATTTGTAGAGACTCTTGGAGTGTCCATTAAAATGTTTGTCCCATTTACAGAATCACAGCTCAGGTGCCTCTGAGAGGGAGGTTAAAAACCTCTGACCCCACTTTGCCAATGAGTGTGCTTGTCATCTTTCCTTATCCTGCTGGAGATGCTGGGCTGGACAGAGCTTTGCTTTGAGCTAAAAGCTGCTCTTATGGAGTTAGAACAAAGATCAGACCCAAAATTTATGAGCTTGGTCTCCTGCTGTGGCTGACAGGAAACACTCACAGCAGGTATCCACATCCCTGAGCTCAAAGCACAGCTCCCTCCCTGTTCTCCCCCTTCAGCAGGTACAGCATTCCATTCTCTTCACTTTCAGAAGCAATCCCAGTTTGTTTAAGAGGTACAGAAAGGAAAATCAAACTGGGGGAGAGAAAGAGATGGCAAAGAGCACGGGGAGATTGAGGTTCCAATCAAACAGATGCCGAGGGGGGTTTTCCATTGCCATCATGCAGAGCTCACTCCAGCGGGTGACAAAGTGGAATTAAGACACACAGGTCAGCATTCCAATGTTTCAGCAGGAAGGTATTTCATCCAGCTCCTACCTGATCTCCTCTGGGAACTGTGCATTGGTCACCAGGAAGCTGGAGATGCTGTGCTGGTGCAGGAGCCTCACGAAGCGGTTGATCTGGGGGTACATGATGGGCTCCCCCACCAGGGACAGGGCACAGTGTTTCACTGTCAGGGCCTCCTCAAAGCGATCAGCCTTCACTCCTGACACACCTGGAGAAGGGGGAAACAGCCTTAAATCAACAATGGTTGGGGCCCTGAGTGACCTGGTAAGGTGGAAGGTGTCCCTGCCCACGGCAGGGGTTGGAACGAGATGATTTTTAAGGTCCCTTCCAACGCAAACCGTTCTGGGATCCCATAACAAACCCCCCCTCCCAAACCTTGCATCTGTATCCAAAATACGCCCTGGCACAAGGAGGACTGAGAAAAGCAGCTGCAGCCCTCTGGAACCAGAGGGGACTCCAGGCCACAGGCAGTGCCCAGGAGCAGCTCTGCAGGAACCCACAGACAGTGCCCAGCCAGGGCCTGGGGCTGTGTGTGCCCTGATCACTGCTGGAGTAATTAGTGACACTTGAGCCCAGCTTTGACACTTGAGCCCAGCTTTAACATTTGAGCCCAGCTTTAACATTTGAGCCCAGCTTTCCATTGCTGAGCCCTCGGTGGTGCTGCCTGAGTGCTGAGACAGAAACACAAGAGGCACTTTGATGCAACTTCAGGCAGGTGTCATAAAAAAGAACCCCAGGTTATGTGTGTGTGTGTCTGCTGCTGGTCCCTGTGGGCCCCCAGCCCCAGGAAAAGCAGCTCCTGAGGGAGCTGAGCACATTGTCAACAGCTGGGGCTGAATCCACACTGGCAAACACACAAGGATGAGTTCAAAACCCCACCACAACACGGTCCTGAACAGCCAAAGAGACTGCAGAAGGAAGAGGAAAACAAGGAGCTCAACTGTAGCATCCATGTGAAAACACCACCTGCAGGTCTGACCCACCTGAGGTCACGATTCCCAGGGGAGCACAGCAGGGAGAGGGGGAGGAAAACACCCCTCCAGCCCACCCTCACCTGCCTGAGCGCTCAGGACCCCGTGTGGAATCACCTGAGCACAAACAAAGCCTCTGCTCCAAATATGTCACTTCACATTTCCTTGACGTGCCTTGATGCCCTCCAATAATATCTGAGGGTTTACATTGGGAGTTGCTCTGTTTTAAAGATAAAAAACCCAAAGCCCTGCGTGTGGATCCAGGTCCTCAGCTCACCCCTCGCTGCCTTGACGCTGCAGCACAGAAAATTCCACCCTGTGCTGCACAGCCCAGATAAAAAGGGGTGTTTGTGGATATTGCTGCAGCCTCACGCAGAAAAAAAGGCTGATTTGGAATCAGAGCAGAGCTTAGTGAATTTTAAACCAGCCAGGCTCAGTCCTGAGCAAGTGACAGGACTAATGGTTATTCCATAGAAATTTGACAGTACTAAATGAGAGCTTTATTTGAAAAGAAAGAAGCATCTGAACCACACACTGAGATTAAAGGACTAACTTTGGTATTCCTAAAGCTACTGTAAGTCACTTTTGGAATTAATGAATTCCCCTCTCTCAGCATCTCTCATCTGGACTCCCATAATTACCGTGGCAGCTTTGTAAGCAGAGCGAAGAAAACTCCAACATCACCTAAAGTTGGAGTGGAGCTTTCTTAAAACAGTTTACACCAAATCTGCTGAACAGTAAACACAGCCCAGAGGAGGGAGAGGGTTTGTGTGCCAACATTTGGCCAGATAAATCACCAGCCAGGCAGGGATAAACTGCACAGCATTAGTGGTGTTCCAGGAGGGCAGGAACTCTCCTGCACTTGGGGGCTGTTGTACCCCAACAGCACCAGGGAATCTCAGGATTTCCCAGTACAGGTCGTGCATTTTTGTTTGTTAGTTTGTTTGTTTGTTTTTTTCTTTTTCCCAAGGCTGTGTTATCAGAGACTCCCACTCTCCTATTTCTGAGTTATGTTTCCATTCTGTGAGTGCCCTTTGCAAGGGCAGAGAGATTTACCAGTCACTCCCTGGAAAAATGTATCCATCAACGGAACTGCTTCCCACCGTCCCTCCACAGCAGGAACATTTCTCTCCATCACTTACTCTAAGAGAGAATTATGTGACTTTAATGTCTGTGGTCTCCAAAACCAGCACAAACTATGGCATCAATAAAGGAGAACATGATACATTAGAGGGAGCATTGAGGGCTGTTCCTCCAGGATATCCTAAAGGATAAAGGGACACAAGAATTCTTCTCTTCCTTCAAAGAAAATCTCATTTCTGCTTCAGTGCATGGAATTAATAAAGCACCATAGAATCACAGAATGCTTTGGGGTGGACAGGGACCTTAAAGATCACTCAGTCTCACCCCCTGCCATGGGCAGGGACACCTTCCACCAGCCCAGGTTGCCCCAAGCCCTGCCCAACCTGGACAACCTTGGACACTTCCAGAGCAGGGGCAGCCACAGCTTCTCTGGGCAACCTGTGCCAGGGCCTGCCCACCCTCCCAGGGAACAATTCCTTCCCAATATCCAACCCAAATTTCCCCTTGGCAGTCTGAAGCCATTCTCCCTCGTCCAGGCCCTTGTAAACAATCCCTCTCCATCATTCCTGTTGGCTCCTTCAGGCACTGAAAGGCCACAATCAGATCTCCCTGAAGCTTCTCTTCTCCAGCTGAACAATCCCAGCTCTCTCAGCCCTCTCTCCCATCAGAGCTGCTCCATCCCTCTGATCCTCCTGGTGCTCCTCAGTTGAGCTCATCAGTTCCTTTGGCACTGGAGATGGCACTGGGACTACAAAGGGCAGTACCAAATGGCTTTGGGCATCACCTGAGCAGCATCACTGGGTGCTCAAGCCCTAAGGGATCTCTAGATAAGACATTTCCCCATGGTTTTATTCTCCAGGAGCCTAAATGTCTATTCTGCTCTGGGAGTCAAACACTTCAGCCCTGCTGGAAGTTCCTCTGAAGTCCCAGTCAGTGCTGCAGAATCAGAACCACTGAGGTTGGAAAAGACCCTCAAGATCGAGTCCAACTGTTCCCTCAGCACTGCCAAGGCCACCCCTAACCCATGTCCCCAAGGGCCACATCTACAGAGTTTTCAACTCCCCCCAGGGATGGGGACTCCTCCACTGCCCTGGGCAGCTGTGCCAGGGCTGGACCACCCTTTCCAGGAAGGAATTTTCCCAGTATCCAACCTGCCCCTCCCCTGGCACAGCTGAGGCCGTTCCCTCTCCTCCTGTCCCTGTTCCCTGGGAGCAGAGCCCGACCCCCCCCAGCTCCCCCCTCCTGTCAGGGATTGCAGAGCCAGAAGGTCCCCCCTGAGCCTCCTTTTCTCCAGGCTGAGCTCCCCCAGCTCCCTCAGCTGCTCCTGCTGCTCCAGCCCCTTCCCAGCTCCGTTCCCTTCCCTGCCCACGCTCCAGCCCCTCAGTGTCTCTCTTGTCACAAGGGGCCCAAAACTGTCCCCAGCCCCCGAGGTCCCTCAGCAGTGGCAGCACAGAGGGACAGAGCCCAACCTGCCCTCCTTCCCCACAACAACCTGGTCCATCTCACTGCTCAAGCCCTGGGGTGGTTTGTGGGGTTTTGACGGTTTCTTTTTGATTCAAAAATCAATCCCCATAAGATCCACCTGCTGTTTGTGGAGCTGCTAAGTTGGCTGGAAAGACACAGCCATGTTTTGTGCCTGAGGCAGCTCCAGCCTGGCCAGGGCACAGCCCACTGGGGACTTCCATCCTTTCCCTGTCCCTGCTCCAGCTCCATTTTGCTTCCACTGCTTCTACCCCAACAATATTTCCACGGGCACCCCAGGGAAGTGACAATGTACCAGCTCCAACCTGCAACAGCAGCTCCTGGGCTTTTCCTACCGATTTTTCTTCTCCTTAATAAACCTTTGCCTCGTGGGCTCCCAAGACAGGAAGCATGTTGCCATCTATCACTCTGAAAAAGTAACACAGCTTTTCTTTTCCCACTTTGCAGCTCATTTCTAGTCCAGAACCATTTTTTTTTCCTCCCCTGCTCTTTCTCCTTTCGCAGTTCCAGATCAAGGGGAACTGTGCTGAGGATGCACAGGCACATTTCAGGGAATATTTCTGGATTTGTTTAATGGAGAAGAAGCCCCAAAAGGAGAGAACTGGGATGTCCTCACAGGCCTCTTGACACTTCAGCTGTATTTTCAGATGCTGACAAGTCTGTCCATAATGATTCCCTGTCCCCAGCCCTTTTTGGGAAGAGAGTAGGGAGCAGTAAAGGAAGGAAAAGGCTATTCCTTACTCCAGGGTGATAATGGCTTTACTTAAAGCTCCTGCTGGAAACCTTTGATGATCCAAACCAGACATGAAGCCCATGAGGCCCCTCCTTGAGCTGGTTTCCCCATCATCCAACTCCAGTGAATGAGGCAGAGCAACTCTGCTCTGCTCACAGAAGGGTTTGGGGCCTGTCATGTTTTGAATCCAGCACAGAAAAAAAGGTTCCCAAAATGACAGCCAAGACCGAGGCTCGTCCTGCACATTTTAGGGATGTTTATCCCACTCCTGCTGCTCACACTCAGCAGTGGAAAGAGCAGAACCCCAGACCTGTCCTGCCCAAGCTGGCACATGAAGGTGACCTTGGCAGAGGAGCCAAGTTTATCACATTTGGGAAATGAAATAAACTAACTAAAATGAAATAAAAATAAAATAAAATAAAATAAAATAAAATAAAATAAAATAAAATAAAATAATACCCACCCAAACCCAGCCATCTCCATACAGATACAGAATGAATAAACACCCAACTCACACCAGGCTCCTATCTGAAGGAAAAGCAGTGCTTCTGAGAGGGGATAACTGCAGCTTCAGTCAGAAAGAGGTGTTTGAATAATTCCTGAAAATAGGAATACCCTGAATGCTGCTGCTTAATTATTAATGGGAAAAAACACAGCCTGGAAGTTTCAGAATGAACACAAAAGCAGGGGCTTAAGGCTGGGTATTTCCTCATCACTCTTACAGAGCAGCCAAGATTCCTCATCATCCAAACCACTTTAACCACTGTGGAAGTCTCTGTGCTCCCCAAGGGAAAAGATGGAACAACCACCAAGGTGCACCTGCACTCCCTCCCTCCAGGCAGCCCTGGAGGGGCTGAGGGAAATGGCAAAACAGCTCAGGAAACAATACATGTGCCCCAGAAGTTTCTCCTCCCCCATGTCTGTGATGTCCCACATCTCACACCTCCCAGCTGACCAGAACGTTCTGCCCCGTGCTCTGAGGATGGTAGGATGGTACTGCTGGTTGTCTTCTCAAAGCACTACTGATGAGGTAGGAGGAGAAGTTACCTCTGAACTGCTTGATCATGTTCTGATGGTTCTCAATCGCCTCCTGCAGGATCAGCTCCGGCTGGTCCATCTTCCAGCGCCACTCTGTGCCCACTGGGTTGGTGTGGTGTCTGCAGGGAGAGGACACAAGGCACTCACTGGCATTTTAACACACGTGGGAGGACCCACCTGCCACCTCTGGCAGTGTTTAACAACACTGAAAGCAACAAGAAACTCCCAGCAACATCCTGCTGCTGACCCAGCTTCTGGGTGCCATCCCTGACCACCGCTCTCAGACCTCCCTCCTGCCAGGCTCTGCTCTCCCCAGAGGGAAAAACGGACCTTGCAGTTCCTGTTAAACCTAACACAACTATTCTGAACCCAGGTGAAAGGTTTCTAAGCTAAAATGATGCTCTGCAGCCCCAAAAACCTCTGCAAAGAAAGGAAAACTGGTTCTGCCTCCTCTTCTGACCACGGCTGCACAAAGCTCTGGAGGAGGAAGGTCCCAGCACACCTTTAGGTCCATTTTAAAGGTACCAACCACCACCCTGAGGAGGACAGGGATGCTTCCAACTCTGAGAGCAGGAAGTCTGCACTGTACCAGAGTGGTGGATGTGGTTGATCTCCCAGATTTTAATTCCTCTGAGCCAAGCAGATTGAAGGAGAAACCCCACAGATCTTCCCTCTGGGTTAGGAAGCCAACCTTGCCTGGAAAGAATCATTGCACCCAAAACCAGCAAAAGCCCACCCAGGGAAATCCACACAAGCACCTGGAAGATCTACAGAGCTTCTCCCCATTTCTTATTTATTAGCATAAGAAGATGCCACAAAGTCAGCTGGGAAAACAACCTGCATCCCGAGCAGCAAATGAAACATCACAAGCAACTGGCTGGTCCCCATCATAGTCCCACCTGACCAACACAGCCCAGGAGAGCCTGTTCCCTGCTCAGAGCAATCCCTCACTCCTGCTGGATCAGCACCAAACAGGGATCATCAGCCCTCAAGTATCATCTTAATTTCAGTGTTTTCACCTCCTTGTTCTCTCTCCACCTTCTGCTTCTTTCCAAACTATGCAGCAACAGCTCCTTCCCTTCTCTCTCCCAGCCCCACTGCACACAGAGTAACCCACTGAAAAGAGCAGCACATTTTGCAGAGTCTGTCACAAAAGCTGTTGCATTAACCCAGCTCTGGACAGGGAAACAAGACCAAGCAAAACATACCCTGACACTGAGTTTTCTGCCCAGGTTTCCTGCCCCACTCTCCACCAGCCCTGGGAGGCAGCCAAGGAGAGGGCTGAGAGGTGCCCTGCTGCATTCAGCCCCAACCCACAGGGACAGCAGGACACCATCCCAGCACTTATCTAAGGGAGGAAAGACAGGGAAGCACGTTCTCTGGATGAAGTGGCTGTTCCAACACTGCCTGGAGACAAGAAGAAGACTCCCACTGACTTTGGACAAGAGGGAATGGATTCAAACTAAAAGTAGATGAAATATTAGGGAGAAATTGTTCCCTGGTCAGGTGGGCAGGCCCTGGCACAGGCTGCCCAGAGAAGCTGTGGCTGCCCCAGCCCTGGGAGTGTCCAAGGCCAGGTTGGAGCACCCTGGGCTAGTGGGAGGTGTCCCTGCCCATGGCAGGGGGTGGGAATGGATGAGCTTCAAAGTCCCTTCCAACCCAAACCATTCTGGGATTCTCCAAATGCAAACCTGCAGCTGCACACTCTGCCAGGGCTAAAGCCCAAATTCCAGACCCAGCCTCACTAAAACCTGCCTTTGGGCCCATGCATTTCTTCATCCACTTCAAGAGCAAAGATTCAAACACCGCTCCCAAACTTTACCACCTCAAGGATCCTTTAAGCCAAAACAGCTTTGCTTTCTGAATTTCCCCTTTTTCTCCCTCATCTGCCAACGTGGAAAGTTTTCTGAATGTCAACTATAAAATGCATTTATAAAACTCTTACATGTTTAACTACATAACTTGTACCTTGTATATTTTACAGGGCAAGTTGGCAGAAAATCAATAAGCTCTGGATACACCCTGGACAGCTGTTGGTGTCCAACAGGCCCTGAATTTTGAACACGTTTCTATCTGTTTAATAAACATAGCAGGGCATGTCTACAAAGCAGCTTATTTGGCAAAAATTCTCTGCTAATGGGAGCCTAAAAAAGCAATGCCTTGTGGCTGAGATTGTTTTATGGTCCCCAGCACACAGAGAACCCCACTGTCACCTCCCCATTCCCCCCCAGCTCCCTGACCCTCCTCATCATCTGCCTCACTGGTGACTCAGGCCTTGAGCTGGTAACTGTGCATGGGATTCCTTCCTGCCTTCCCAAAATAACACAAGGAAAAAAGGAGTCCCACCCAAAGCCACACACACCTTGATTTTAGTAGAGATGCCAAGAGTGACACAGGTTTGCTTTGATCCTTCAGAGACATTTCACTGCCACAGCATCCCACCACCACTCAGTGATGCAGGACTGCAGGAAACACCAAGGGAAGCTCCCAGCTGGCTCCCAATTTTCCCTGGCTGACCATCCAGCAGTGTTACCAGGCCTTAGATCCACCAGGATTATGTGACAGCACTCCCAGAGTGTCCCTGGCAGTCCCTGAGACCTCTGGGAAGGTGATTGTGCACCCCCATCCCAGTCCCTTAGGGATTGGGGTTAATAAATCTGCTTTTGCTTTGTGCCTTCTTCAAATGATTATTAAAGCCTTCCAAGGATCTTTGAGGGCAAGTGAAACTCGGGTATAAAGCATCATTTGCTCCAGAGCTGGTGCTCCCTGAACATGAAGGAAGTGCTGGTGGCAGTGCCCAGGAAAGGACAGAGAGTCCAAGAAGCATCTTCAGTGAACCCTGAGAACCAGCAGGGGAGATCCCAGAGGAGAAGAGCTTAAGGGCAAAGGAGTTGAGGAGAACTGGCAGTTTTTTTAAAACCCCATTAAGGCAGAAGCACAAACTGCAGCACTAAAAAGCAGAGATACAAAGGATAACAAAAACCAATCTGCTCTTCTGCAACCTTGTGATCCCCTCAGCTGCAAACAAAACCAGCACAGGAACACAGGGGCATCCTCAGAGAGGGGAAGGGGAAAGGACACACAAGAGGGCTCCCAAGGATGACTTTCCCTGTAATGATGGGAGGAGGAAAGAGAGGAACAAGGAAAAAGCTTGTCCAGTGCACAAGCAATACATGTTTAACGTTCCTCTGGGATGACAAGAAACCTCTCTGTAGCTTTTCTTCTGCTTTTTCCCAACAGCAAGAGGAAGAGCCCAGACTGGGCTGGGAAGAGAAGAGCTTAGAGAGATTTAAATTCTGTGGGATTTAAATTCTGTGGGATGGTTCAGTCACCCCGGAGCATGTTGCATAAGTTGGCTCAAAGTATCAGAGGGTGCCAGGGGTGCTTCACATTGGATATTAGGGAAAAAATCTTCATGGAAATCTTCATGTTGCAGGGCAGTGGTGGAGTCCCACCCTGGAGGGGTTTAACACAGTGGATGTGGCACTTGGGGACACGGGGCAGTGGTGGCCTTGGCAGTGCTGGGGGGATGGCTGGGCTCAATGATTTCCAAGGGTTTTTCCAACCAAAAGGATTCTGTGATTGTCTTCCAACTCACACTTTGGAAATCTAAGGGAGAGAAGATGCTCCATGCTCTAAAAATACCTCCCAGCTCCAGGAAATGCTCAGTTTTTGAAGGGCACAGTTCCCTAAAAGGCAGGTGGTGCTCAGCATCTCCCAGGTGTCTGCCCTGTGCTTGTGTCATCCCATCCCATCCCACACCATCCCATCCCAATCCTGCCTGGCACAGCCTCCAAGACCATTTCACAGCTAACCTGAGCATCAAAACATACCAAGAAGTTGGTACCTGGGCACCAACCCCCTGCAGGAACCAACCCACGTGAGCATCTCACAGCCAATAATCTGAATATACCCCCCACCCATGCCAGAAATCTGGGAGCTGACAGTGACAACTACAGAAGCCTTCAGCAAACCCAGGTGCAGAAATAGGCAGAGTGTTATAGGATGAAAATCAGAGCCTTCAATCCCACTTCACCTGAGGAACATTTTCTCCCAGAAATGCTCAGGTTGCTGTGCTGGCAGAGCATCAGGACCCTTTAACCACTGACAGGGGCATGGACTGGGTACATTCCACACTGGCCTGTCCCTCTCCCCATTTATATGGTCATTCCAAGAGCTACAGGAAGGCCCAAAAATCAACAAACCAGTGAAAAATTAAATCTGAAGGAAGCAATATCTCACAATATATCACTCCTGTAAACACAACAATAACCAACCAAACCCTGGCAGAAAAAAGAGCAATAACTGAGCAGAGCAAGGACTGGTGGCTGAAGTGCAGAGACTCTCTGAGGTTCCAAGTTTTCCAAACCTGCAGTGACAGCTCCTTTGATATCACAGTATTTCCCATTCCCCTGAAGAATTGAGCCTCTGGAGTCAAGTTGTTGATTGAGAAGAAGCTTTTGTTTTAATCTGCTTTCAGTTTCTTCTTCATTTTTTAATGACCTGAAGCAGTTCTCCTAGGAGAGATTATTCCTTCTGAACCTCTTCATTTTGCAGGGCTTACAGTGATCACTGGCTTTTGGCCACACTCTTATTTAGTGTTCAGTGCCCAACCACCCTCTGGGGGAAGAACCTTTTACCTGAGATCCAACCTGAGCCTGCCCTGACACAGCTCCAGCCATTCCCATCTCCCAGTCTGTTTTTCCTGTCCTCCAAAACAGCTGCTGCAAGCTCTCAGCCAGCTCTGAGGGCACAGGCTGGGCAGCACGAGCCAGAGAGGGGGCACTGGCAGGAGTGGCAGCTCCCAGGGACAAGGACAAGGAAGGGCTCCAATGCAGAGCCAAGCTGCACCTTTTACAAAAAAACCTAATTTTCAGAGGGTGTTTGGACACTGGATCCACCCAGTGGAGCTCCAGGGGAAGGTGTCCCTGCCCACAGCAGGGGGTTGGAATGAGATGATCTTTGAGGTCCCTTCCAACCCAAACCCTTCCATGACTCTGTGAGTGGTTTGGGGCCAAAGTGTGTCAGTGCCAACCAGCCAACTCCCCTGCCACCCAATTCCCAGGGAAAGCAGCTCAACTGCAGCATTGCTGGCCAAAGTGAGGAAGAGAAAACAAACAGGTTCCTTGGCCTTTTCCTCAGCCATCCTGGGAGAGCTGCAGTGCTTGTGCAGTTGCAAACATTGGCAGGCTCTACAAATGTCAAAACCCTGAAAGAAGAGATCAGGGAGGGAAAAAAAACATCACAGAGGCCTTATCTGCAAGGCAGAGCTGCACAGGGAGACCAGCAAGGCATAAAACTGGCATGAGAAACATTGTGCCAACAGCAGATCAAAAACTACTGCTTTGTGTGTCTCCAACAGCACAGATGGCAAGTGCTGCTAAGGAGGGGATGTGTTTATCCTGCCCAGGCACGGGCACCTGCAATCCCATGTTTAGCCTCTCATGGTTAAGGCTCTGCAAGGTGTGGTGGGTTTAAATTAAAGTGTAGAGATAGGCCTGACTGCAGGGTTTGTGAGCTGGGCTGGCACAGCATCAGCAGGGATTTGGTGCAGGAAGAAAGCACAGAAATCCTTCTTATTACATGTGGAACATAATATATAAGAATCCTTTTTATTATTTATGGAACACACCAAATCACAGCCACACAGAGGCTGCAGCAGCAGCACAGGATCTGCAAAAACAACCAAAAAGAGGAGAACTTCTTTCAGCAGCTGTTCTGGTTCATGTCAAGCTTAAGCACATAAAGCAAGCCCTGGGATGAGCCTCAACCTGAGCCTTCCATCTTCCAGCTTGGTATTTCCAGCTTCCCATGGGGGTATGAGAAGACAACCAGCTGCATTCCATATGGGAGAGTTACTCTCCTGCCCCCATTTCACCCACAGGAGGTAAATATATGAATAAATACATAAAACCTTGTCAGTACAGGAAAAGGAAAGCTGTTTCCTTGCATTCAGGTTGTAACCATCAGGAGGATCAACATTCTAGGGCTGCTGCTTCCAGGATCCCTCTGAAGTGCCAAGTGACAGTTACAGGATGATGAGTTAGAGGCACATGGAATGAACCAGTTTATCCCAATTACTGCACTCTCCAATTGATGCTTTCTGGACTTCCCTGGCTCGGCCCATGCTCCCCACACAGGCTGCTGCTGCTCAGAAATACTGAATTAGTTCAGTTTGAGGAGAAACTGTGTTAAACTCCCTGTGGAGTAATACTGGGAACAAACCACCTGCTCCTCTTTGCTGTCTGGGATGGACCTTCTGTGGAGGGCCAGAGGGACAACCCCACACCCAGCAATCCCAGCCACCCTGCAGGATTCAGAGCAGCACCGTGAGCTGAGACGTTTTAAAAAAGAGACACGAGCAGCACATTCTTCTTCCCAGCCATCACACTGCTCTGAAGAAAAGCAGCAGAACTTTCCCATTCAACATCCCATCTGCTGAGCCCTTTCCAGCCAGGATATGAGGAAAGCCCATCAAGAGCACCAATTAACATTTTGGAACAGACTCCCAAATGCAAACTTAACAGGATGACCAATGTCTAGAGCTTAACGTTAACACCAACACTGGAAACAGCTTCAAAGTGCCTTCAGAGTCAGAGCAGAGCTTTAAATGTTCTCATGAAATATTTGCATTATTAAAACTTGAAGACTATGAGAGACAGAAAGGGGTACTCAGAGGAGTTTGGCTGGGCTTGCATGGAAATATTATCACAGAATCCTAGAATAGTTTGGGTTGGAAGGGACCTTGGAGCTCATCTCGTTCCAAACCCCTGCCCTGGGCAGGGACACCTTCCACTAGCCCAGGCTGTTCAGGATTATTTATTGGGATGCTGGACACTCAGGCTGAGGTGTGGAATGGGTGCTGTTGGCAACCTGGGGTAAGGCATAAATCCCAGAGGAAACACAGCTCTAATGGGATGAATTAACAAGCAAGGCAGAAGACAAAAGAGCTCAAAAATAACCTCCCTGTCCTCCCACTCAGAGCACTCCCATCACTGCTGGTGTTTCTGCTGAGCCTCAGCCTCTCCCCAGCCCCAGCCTGCCCTGGAGTGCTTTGAGGAACAGGACAGGAACAGAGTGGGATGGAATCCCAGGATGGATCATGTTGGAAGGCACCCCAGTGGGTCACTGGTCCAGCAGTGCCAGCCCAGAGCACATGGCACAGGATTGTGTCCAGAGGGCTCTGGAATATCCCCAGGGAGGAGACTCCAGCCCCTCCCTGGGCAGCCTGTTCAGAGCTGGGTCACTGCCCAGGGAAGAAGTTCTTCCTCCTGTCCAGCTGGAGCTTCCTGGGCATCGGTTCCTGCCCGTTCCTCTTGTGCCATTGCTGGGCCCCCCCAGCAGAGCCTGGGCCATCCTCTGCCCCCTCCCTGCAGCCCCTGACACACCCTGGGGAGGGCCCCTCTCAGTGTGTGCTCTGGAGGCTGAACAGCCCCAGCTCCCTCAGCCTTTGCTGGGCAGGGAGATGCTCCAGTGCCCTCCTCATCCTCCCAGCCTGCGCTGGAGCCGCTGCAGGAGCTCCCTGTGCCTGCTGTGCTGAGGAGCCAGAGCTGGGCCCAGCCCTGCAGATGTGCCTGCCCAGGGCTGGGCAGAGGGGCAGGATCCCTCCATGCCCTGCTGGAAATGCTCTTCCTGATGCTCCCAGGATCCCACTGGCCTTTTGGCCCCCAGGGCTCCCTGCTGGCTCAGGGACAGCACCATCTCTGTCCAGCAGACCCCAACCCCAGTGTGACCCCCCCAGGGTTTACCTCCAGCAGAAGACACACTTGTTGGCACAGGCCAGGCTGGGCGTGGCCTCCATGCAGCGGTGGCTCTGGATCCCGTAGAAGGTGTGTTTGTAGCAGCCCCCTCGGCCCCGGAGCATCGACTGAGGGCACAGACACACAACACAAAGCCCAGGCCAGTGAGAACACACTCCTCCAACCAAGGTGAGGGCACAGTTTGAAATCTGCTCCCTTCAGTCACCAGGAAGTCCAGTGCAAAGCCCTGTGGCTGGCACTGCCAGGTCACCCAGGACACCAGTGCCACCAGTGCCACCTGCTCGGAGCAATTCCCAGCACACACAGCACCGAGGGTGACTGTTCATATGCAGCCCTACAGAAAACTGCATTTATGAGGTCAAATTTACAGCTGTTATAGAGGAGAAAAAACTTTAACCTCATCAGTACCTTCTCCCTTGCAGACCCCAGCACAGCAATGGGATTTCCTGGAGCTTTTCACTGAGCCAGCTCACGAAAAAAGCAGGAGAAGCCACTGGAGATGCAGGAAGTGTTGTTGTAAAAGGAGTAACAAGGATCAATTTTCAGGCTGCCCTACTGGACACTCAATTCCTTTCATTTGTCTGCCAGAGTGTTTCTTCCAGCACTAAATTAAATAAGCACCCTGACCTTATCAACCCTCATTCACACCCAGCAGTGGCTCCAGCAGGACTCTGCACTTCCCTTCCCAGCACAACCACAGCAGCTTCCCAACGGGAATTAACTCCTGTTTAGCATTCAGGCTGCTTGGAGCAAAGACTGTCTTTCATTAGCTCAGTTAAATAATAATAAATGAGAAAGAAGCTACTACTCTCAAGAGCGAATTTGAAATACGACACAGCAGCTTCTTAAGCACCTGAAGAATCCTGGTGATCCAGAGGAAAATCTTCCCTGAGCAGCAGGGAAAAATATCCAGGTAATCCCTAAGATATGCACAGGCTGGCTGTACAGGTGGAAGATGAAACAACGTGGGAAATGCTGTTTATGCTACCCATTCTCCAAACAGAGACTTCAGGAGATCCACAGGTTCCAGGAGAGCAAGTTCTATTTGGGACTCTTCTGAAAATTTGCAGGTTTTATGCTCTTTCCCGAGATTTGACAGAACACAGTCTTTGTTATCTGTGATATCCCTATGAAAGTCTATTTGATACCAATCCTGCCAGCCCTGCTCTTGCTTTCCAGTGATACAAAGCTCCAAGGAGGCTCCTGGAGACACTCACACACTGGTGTGAACCTGAGGCAAAGCCACTGCCTGGAACCAATTTCAGCCCAATTTATTAGAAGCCTTTACATTCAATTCCTGCTTAAGCTAAAAATAGTGTGGGCCTATCTAAGCACATAGAGCTGCTATTTATTTTGTGAAATGGCTTTACAGCACTGCATTAAATTCTGGTTCTTTAATAAAAACAGCTCCTCTGCTTTCCTCAGTCGCAACAGCGGAGTTTGACAAGTTTTTCTTTAAACATTTCACGGCCTTCTCTGACACTAAAAATGATAGAGGAGAGAAACATTTGTGAGAGAGAGCAGGGGAAGCATCAGTGGGATCGATGGATCTCACAAACAATCCTGACAATACAGGGCTGGGTGAGGAGAACAAGGTTTTTTGATGAAACAGTTCACTGACAATAGAAACTCGCTGGGGATTGGCATTCCAAGGGCTCTTTCCAAAATAAACAGAGTTAATCAAGCAGCAAAACAGAGCTGGGAGACCAAGGGCTGATCATCTCCACAGCGCAGGAATTAGAGATGGGCTGGCACATTAATGAGGGGCTGATTCCCACAGGTTCTCGTCCCAGGAATGCTGGAGGAGTTTTGTTGTGCTGGATGGAGGGTGAAGGGTCTGGAGCACCTGAGGGAGCTGGGAAGGGGCTGGAGCAGCAGGAGCAGCTGAGGGAGCTGGGGGGGCTCAGCCTGGAGAAAAGGAGGCTCAGGGGGGACCTTCTGGCTCTGCAATCCCTGACAGGAGGGGGGAGCCAGGGGGGGTCGGGCTCTGCTCCCAGGGAACAGGGCCAGGAGGAGAGGGAACAGCCTCAGCTGTGCCAGGGGAGGGGCAGGCTGGAACTGGGAAAATTTCTCCCTGGAAAGGGTTGTCCAGCCCTGGCACAGCTGCCCAGGGCAGTGGAGGAGTCCCCACACATGGAAGGGTTTAAAAGGTTGTAGATGTGGCACGAGGGGACATTGTTAGTGGTGGCCTTGGCAGTGCTGGGGATGGTTGGACTCCACCTTGGAGCTCTTTTCCAACCTTAATGATCTGTGATTCTCTGATCAATGTTACTCCCCAGAGGTACAACATCAGAGATCAACTTTCAAATTCTGAGTGTCTCAGGGACCTGCAGAGGACAACTGACACTACAAACACCCTGAAGCAGCTGAGGTTTGCTCTCCAGGGCTTTGTGCCTCTGCTGGGAATGATTTTAAGTCTGCAAACTGCTTGGAAAGGTTACAGAGGCTGCAACAGGGCTGGGAGGGCAGTGTTTTCATAGATATCATAGAACCACTAAGGCTGGAAAAGGCTTCTAAGACCATGGAGTCCAACCATTAACCCAGCACTGCCAAGCCCACCACTAACCCACGTCCCCAAGTGCCATTTTCCAGCTTTTGATGTTTCTTCAGTGGTTTCTCCCCTGTTTTAGGAAACCAGCCCCTTCCTGAGGGGCTTTTACATACCCTAAAAGCCTCTTGCCCGAATTGTATCTGTGTTTCCCTTTTCCATCTGTATTTATCCTTTACCATATGTACATACCCACAGATATAAACACACAACCACATCCACACACACTCCCACGGGGGAATTTTTAATAGTCCTTACCATTAAGAAGTGACACCTCAGTGTCTAAATCTGATTTAGAAAACCAGTGGAGGAGCAGTGACTGTCACAGCCCAGCACAGCAGGCTCAAACATCCTTGTGTGCCCAGCCAGGTGGAACAATGGACTGTTATCCCTGTTCCAGAGCCCTCACCCTGCTGATGGAAAACACTGGTGATGGAACCTTCCCCCTTTCCCCTGCAGTGTCCTGCTCCTGCCATGCATTCCAGCAGGCAGGAGAGATTTTAGCAGACAGCAGAATAACAGCAAAAAGCAGCAAATGATGCTCTTTGCCACACTCACATTCTCGCTCCTCACAGTGGGGTTTTAACAGCTTGAAATGCAAGACCAGAGCTGGAAAAAGGGGAATTTGGGTTTGTGCACACTTTTTAAATGGTATTTCATCAGGCAAGTGAAATACCTGAGTAAGACTCTAGCTTTGTTTTATCTACCAGAGGAGAAAAGGAAAGAGGGCTCACCTTTGTCCAGCGGCAGAGCTTCACCCCGGAATGGCTCCCAATGAGTTTGTAACCTGGAAACAGAGCACAAAATAACAAAGAGCTGATGTTAACCTGCAGCAATTGAGACATAAACCACACCAGTGGGTGCCCTAAAGGATTAAGCATCACAGCCTCAGTGCTGCTCCTCCTCACTGGCCCCCAGGTGACACCCCCAGCAACGGCAAAGCTGCACATCAGAGCCAAGGCTGTGGCACCAAAGGGACTTCAGCCAACTGGGAATGGTTTCTTCTAATGGGACGTTTATTTATATTGCTCAGTCCTGTTTCAATCAGCAGGGTGGCCAGAAACCCCCTCTCTGTGGAACAGGATGGCAGAACTACAGGCCTGACCCAGTGTGGGACAGCTCACAGAGCCCAAGGGAGGAGCAGGACAGGGAATCACTGACACCTCCCTGGCCCTGAGCCGTGACCCTACAGCAGCCTCTTCCCAGAACCCAGGATCCCAAATCCCCACTGGCAGGTCTGACCAACACCTGATCCCCAGAGCAGGTGTGAGGGCAGGGGAAGGGAACCAACACACAAAGCTCAGCCTAAACCCAACCTTCAGGCTCACCAGCTCCATCCCCCTGGTTCTGGTGCAGCCACAGTGGGGGAGCTGCTCCTCCATGCCCAGGGAAAAGCTGCTGGCACAGCCCTGCCCCATTCCCGAGATCCACACAATTCCATTTCAATTTCTTGCTCCAGGAGGATTAATCCCACAACATTCATTAAGCACTAAGTGCTATTATTACCCAAACTGCTCGAGTTGGGTTATATCCCTCTTTGAAAAAAAAAAGTACTTAGAGGCCAATATGTCTCAAGGATTAAAAGTCACTTCAAAATCAGCATAAAAATAAGAGGGATTTGTGATGCCTCGCTGTGTCACTCACAGGGCAGCTTTTCTATGGCACTGCCCTGGCTGGCCCCAAACTCAGCACATCCCAACTGCCTGGGCTTTATAGTAACACTTTAATGGGGAAAAAAAAATATCAAATGTTAGCTGTCAGGTCTTCTTCCTGCCAAGCAGCCTGAGCTGAACAGAGAAAAAAAGCCTTTCTGCTCAGCACAGCTGGCCCTCAGCTCCTCCAAGGAGCAGCAGCTCAATTCCCTGCCCTGCCTGTTTGTCCCTGGGCAGCAGTGGCACAAGAATCCAGGGAGAGTGACTGCATCCCAAAGTGCCCCAGGCCTCCAGGGGCATGCGAGCCAGCCAGGAATGACAGAGCCAGCAGATGCCCCAACAGCTGCAGCAGATGGGAGTTCAACTGTGTGAAGACAGGCATGGCCAAGGGGGGATCACAGAGCACGATGCCCTGGCTGCTGCCACTCAGAGCCAGCTGGATCTGCCCTGGCTCCTCTGCTGCTTCACCTGGTGTGTGGTCCCAGCTCCTCACACTGGTTTGGGGGGTCAGGACAGAGGTGGTTTTACCCAGAGGTGACACACAGGACACTGCACAAACACCAGCACAGAGGAGGTGCCGGGCAGGACCCTCGGTGAGACGGCAAAGGGTCAGTTGTTAGATAGGTGAGGCTTTGGGGGCCTCAGAGTCAGGCTGCTCCTCCTCCAAGAAACATGGAGAGAGACTGTTTACAAGGTTTGGAGGGACAGGACACAGGGAATGGCTTCCCACTGCCAGAGGGCAGGGTTAGATGGGATATTGGGAAGGAATTGTTCCCTAGGAGGGTGGGCAGGCCCTGGCACAGGTTGCCCAGAGAAGCTGTGGCTGCCCCAGCCCTGGAAGTGTCCAAGGCCAGGTTGGAGCAACCTGGGCTAGTGGGAGGTGTCCCTGCCCATGGCAGGGGGTGGAACTGGATGATCTTTAATGTCCCTTCCAACCCAAACCATTCCATGATCAGCTTTTCTAACATGGAAAAAAACCCAACCAACCAACCAACCAACCAAAAAAAAACCTGACTGTCCCCAAAGCCACATGCAGTATTGGGGACACCTTTACCTGGATGACACCCAGAAGATCCTGGGGCAGGTTCTGGCACTCTGCAGTGGCACAGCCACACACACACACAGCTGGCTGTGACCCAACATCTCCCCCACCCTGGCTCTGCCCTGCCCAGATCTTCAGCTTGTCTTTGCAAACAGGCTTGTCCAGCAAGGCCTAATCTCAGCTGAGACCTCCCTGCACTGCTACAATTCCTGTTCTTACAGGATTTCTGGATGAGAGCTCAAAGGAATGCTGCATTCCTCCTCCCTCTGATACAGCTGCCCGAGCCAGGCTCTGCTGTCAACCAGCACAGCCCAAGTCTTATTTTTGCCATTTTTCAAAATCCAGCAATGGTATTCATGGGAGATTATTCCCTCACAGATCACTTGTCAGTAGAAGTAATATGGCTGCTTTAAAATGGGCTTTGGAGGAAAGTTAAATTGGAAATAGGACATGCTCTCCTAGATTTGCTACTGAGTTGCTTGAGGGAAGGGAGAGGAAGCAGCTGAGCTGAGCAAGATGCCAAGCACTGGAGCCCAGAGCTCCAGCATTTTCTCTTAAGTTACTGAAATTCAACTTCCACCATGTGGAGCAGCCCCAGCTTCCTTGCAAGGCCAAGAAAACTGTCCATGTTCAACATCAAAGCAGAGTCCCAGAGCCTGCAGGCAGCTTTAGGGACGAGGAGGGGTTTACTCCTCTTGGCTGCTGCCAGGAGCCCCAGCAGTGCTGACAGGAGGGGACAGCAGGACTCCTTAAAGCCACCCTACAGACAACTTGGGTCCTGCTAAAGCCACGCAGTGAGTGCTGCTGTGACACTTGGAAATGAGATAAAACATCAGGGGCCAAGGCTGGACACTTTTTACACCTCTGGTGAGCAGAGATTTACAGCCTCTTTCCTGAAGCACTGCTGGGAAGGGGCAGCAGAAGGGTCTGGGCTAAAGGGCAGTAGAAAAGGTTAAGCAAGACCCAAGCAGTGGCACAGAATTGTGGAACTCTTGTGGTTGGAAAGACCACTGAGATCAAAGAGTCCAACCATCCCCCAGCACTGCCAAGGCCACCACTGGTCCCTGTCCCCAAGGGCCACATCCATGTCTGTTAAACCTCCCAGGGATGGGGACTCCCCCACTGCCCTGGGCAGCTGTGCCAGGGCTGGACAACCTTTTTCATGAAGAAATTTCCCCCAGTACCCAACCTGCCCCTCCCCTGGCACAGCTGGAGGCCATTCCCTCTCCTCCTGTCCCTGTTCCCTGGGAGCAGAGCCCCAACAGCTCTTCCACCAGCTCTGCCACAACTTCCCCCTGGCTCTGCCACGGAATTGTCTGGAATCAAATCCCACTGCTGGCCCCAAGTCTGCACCTCTGGGTGCCAGCACTCCCCAGCCACACATTCACCGCTTTGCTCTTAAGGGATATTATTCCTGAGCAATAAGTCTAAGTGAATATTTGGATACAGCACCTTCCAAACAATCCAGTGTGTCGCCTTGATGGAACTGCTCACAGTCCCTGAGTACCTTCAGATGCTAAAGCTGAACAAACCAATCTATTTATTATTTCTCCAGCCTAATATTCAGAGGATTCCTTCAATTATAAGCAGGCTCATAGTAATCAGCTCAAGTCCTGTTTAAAGGCCCAAAGAGCATCTAATCTGGAGGCTGTGTATTAGTTGATCCTGCTGGAGATGATAAATTTGGGATGACCTAGAAGCCTGCCAAACTTCCCTGAAATTAGATGTCACTTTTATAGACATGAATTAGGCTTTAAAACAAGCTTTGGGGTGAAGAGAGTGTTATCAGGCAGTAACACCAGGTTGAGAAACATTTGGAGATTGCTCACCCTGACAGCCCAACTAGAGTTTAACAGCCCAGAGAGGGACTTTGAAGGGGAGGGATGGTCATGCCACAGCTCAGGATTGCTCCAGTGGCTGGGGCAAAACCAGGCTGCAGCTCCTGGGAACCACATTGCAGCATTTCAACTCCATCGTGGAAACCACAGTTTTTAAAGTTGTTGCTCTGAAAGTCAAAGAGCTCATGGAGGGACCCAACTGAGCTCTCAGCCCTGACCTCCCTTTCCATGGAGAAATTCCTCCTGATGTCCAACCTGCCCCTCCCCTGGCACAGCTGAGGCCGTTCCCTCTCCTCCTGTCCCTGTTCCCTGGGAGCAGAGCCCGACCCCCCCCGGCTCCCCCCTCCTGTCAGGGATTGCAGAGCCAGAAGGTCCCCCCTGAGCCTCCTTTTCTCCAGGCTGAGCCCCCCCAGCTCCCTCAGCTGCTCCTGCTGCTCCAGCCCCTTCCCAGCTCCGGTCCCTTCCCTGCACACACTCCAGCCCCTCAGTGTCTTATTTAATGTAATTATGAAAGAACACAGGTAGATCAGTGGTTGAAAATCCCCCAGAACCATAAAGAAAGGACCCAGCCATCCCTGTCCAGGAGTGCAGTCACCAGGAGCCTGGAAAAGCCAATCTGGTGTCACACTGTGCCTCACAAACTCTAATGGCTTTCACAAGGCTGTTGTTGTGAGAAGAGCAATACAGAGCTGACAAATGAGCCTGGTTCTATCAAGCACTCCCGTTAAAGAAAAGCCTCTGCTCTGAAGCAATGATTATCTGTTAAAGCTGAAGCTCAGTGCAGAGAGAGGAATTTCACACCAGGAGAATGTTTACAGGGGAAAAAAGTTCCCAATTTCCTGCTGGTTTGCAGGAGTGCAGTTCAGAAGGGCCAGAGCTGAAGGTTGGTGACACAGTAGGATCCGTCACCAACCACTTCTAAGGATCATTTCTAAAGCTGAAACACAACTGCTGCACTTGAGCCACCTCCCAAAAGATGAGAAAATTAATCATTATAATAATAATAATAACATCAAGAAATGCCATTGGTGAAGAACCTGGTCAGATTATATCAGGATTTATACAAATCCAAAAAGAAGGGCAATCTGGACAGTGGCATTTTTCAGATTGCCCAAGCATGAGAGGAGGAACCTTCAGGTTCATCCCTAGAACTGCTCAACCTTCAAGAAATCCTTGCCAAGCCCATCAAGACCTACTTTAGATTCCCTCTTTGTTTGCAGAAGTGCTCTTGAAAGTACAGAGGGCTCGTGACTTG